ATAATAATAATAATGTTAATAATAATAATACTCATAATAATAGTAGTATTAATAAATATATGAGGATGATGATGATGATGATGATGATGATGATGATGATGATGATGATGATGATGATGATGATGATGATGATGATGATGATGATGATGATGATGATGATGATGATGATGATGATGATGATGATGATGATGATGATGATGATGATGATGATGATGATGATGATGATGATGATGATGATGATGATGATGATGATGATGATGATGATGATGATGATGATGATGATGATGATGATGATGATGATGATGATGATGATGATGATGATGATGATGATTGAGGAGGAGGAGGAGGAGGAGGAGGAGGAGGAGGAGGAGGAGGGTGATGGTGGTGGTGGTGGTGGTGGTGGTGAGGAGGAGGCGGAGGAGGAGGAGGAGGGGGGAGGATGGGGAGAAGGGGGAGGAGGAAGAGAAGAGGAGAGGAGGAGGAGGAGGAGGAGGAGGAGGAGGAGGAGGAGGAGGAGGAGGAGGAGGAGGAGGAGGAGGAGGAGGAGGAGCAGGAGAAGGGGAGGAGGAGGAGGAGGATAGTGTGCTGGTGGTGGAGGAGGATGCGTACCAGTGGGAGTAAAAGGAGGGGAGGAGGAGAGGGGAGGAGGAGGAGGAGGAGGGGAGGAGGAGGGGGAGGAGGAGGAGGAGGAGGAGGAGGAGGAGGAGGAGGAAAGGGAGGAGGAAGCTGAAAGGCAGGGGGCGAAGGTGGATGACGATGACGATGATGCGCTGACTTTCGGCTCGGGGGGGCTCGGGTCAGGAAGCCATGATCATGGGACGCCCTCGCTCGCTCGCCGTGAAAGCGCCTGCGAGAAAGGTGCGCTAGACCTGGGCAGGTGAAGCGCCACGTCGACAAATGCTGCTGCTGTTTTTTTGGCTCTGCTTCTGGTTTGGGCAGCGTGCCGAGCTCTTTGTTGAAGAGCTCCCCGATTGGCGAGCTGATTTCGGCTTGCGCGAGCCCCTCTCTGCGCTCGTGGCGGGGGAAGTGTCGCAGTCGGCCGCTGATCTGGCGCACGTGCTCCGCTCGGCCACCGCGCGGCGCGCGGGACGCGGCGCGCGCGGCGCGCGCGGCGCGCGCGGGTGGCGCCCCCGCAGCATGCCTGCAGGGCCCCCCCCCTGCTCGAGCGGGAGGCGCGCGCTCCCCCGCTGCGCGCGCGGGGGGCGCGGGCGGTGCGGGCGACTTCAGCGCCGCGGCGCGGCGCCAACGGAGGCTGCCGAGCGCGAGGCGCGAGTCGGGCGTGGCGGCCAGGGTCGCTCGGTCATCGCTGGGGCGGTGCCCGGAGGACGGCGGCGTCGGGCAGGGCCCGTCGGCGCCACTGGCTGGGTGGTCGCCTGCGGGGGCCTCGCCCGCGGGCTGTTGCAGGTGGAGTTCCAGCTCGCTTCGGACACACCCCGCCGCTAGATCGATCGCATGCCGGACCGAGCTCGCCGCCGAGCAAACTGCGTCTGCAGGCTGAGGTGTCTCGCAGCGGGGCGACGCCGCGGGCGGCGCTGCGCCTGCGGTGGCGGTGGGCTGCGCGGGCGGATCGGCAGGGACCGCGGGCGCCGAGCCTCGCGCGGCAACCCAAGGCGGTCGCCGAGCCGGCTCGCTCGGCGTCGACGCTGCGAAAGTCCAGCTGCAGGGCTGTTGGGCCCCCTCCCGCCTTGTGCGCAAAGCAGGGTTCGCACCAGCCTCTGGGTGCGAGGGTTTCCTGGAGCTGACGGTTCGATGTCGGAGCGGCGAGGCCCCTCGTTTTTTTTTTTTTGGACAGCGCGCGACGGCGAGACAGGCCGTGGTTACCTCATGCGCTCCAGGCCTCAGGAGAGACCAGCACCGTCCTGCTGGCTTCGGGCTTCGAGGAGAAGACAGGGAAAACGGCAGCGGCGGCATCCGTTCGACTGGTGCCTGCCGAGAACAGCTGGGCGGCGCGCGGCCCGCCGCAGGTGCCTTGTGGGATCGTTGGCGCGCGTTGGGCGCCAGAGGAGTGTGAGAGCAGATTCGTGCCGGTCGGGCTTGTCTTCGGCCCGGCATCTGCCGCGCCAGGAAACTGCTGGGCGCTGCTGGCGGACATCCGAAGGACGCTTGCAGGGGCTCGCTGGCAGCTTATGCGCAGCTGCATTCTGGCGACGTCGTGCCGTTTGCCGCGGCTTGGGCATGCGTGGGCGAGCCAGCGCAGCGGGATTGGGCAGCCCCGATTCTTCGGGTGGCTGGCCGGACGGCCGGAGGCTCACGGTGGCCGCCGGAGCCACCTGTCGGTCGCGCACCACCGCGCGGCGCAGGCAGCCCGACCAGTGCAGTGACGCGCCTCTGTGCGGCGAGGGTGTCCTCTGCGTGCGAGATGCACTCGGCGAGCCCGTGTGCTGCGGGAGCACGTCGTGCAGTTTCGGGCGGGCTGTGCGCCCGGGCTGTGGGCCGTGGTCTGTGCTATAGGGAGCGCGGGGCGCATCGGCGGGTGGCGGCGTCGGCTGCCCTCGAGGGAGCTGCCCTCCTGCCAGTTCCCGTCGAGGCGGAGTTGAGGTGGCTGGTGCTGTCTTTGTATGGTCCGGGTTACCGCGGGGGAAATTGTGCTTCTGCGCGACAGCACGCATGGCGATCCCTCGCGAGTCAGTCGGTGTCCTTCCGGCGGGCCTCGCGAGACTTCTGTCGAAGGGGCGCCCGCGGGGAAATTGGGTTGGGCGCGGTGTAGCGCCGAGCGATTCGCGCGTGGCCAGTCTGCCACTGCCCGCGAGTTCAGGCGGGGCGCCTCACGTCGCGGAAGGAGGCTCGGTGATGACTGAGGCGAGTACGTTTGCTACTTTTGCGTCGCAGGTCCTTCGCGGCAGCGCGCAGGACGAGTCGTGGCGTCGTGGCAGTGACGGACGCCTGGTCGCTGGAGCTCGCGGACGGGCCGGCGGCGAGAGGAGCGCACACCGACGTGCAGAGCGCGGAGGCGAGCGATGCTCGGTCCTCGGCTCTGCCCGCGCAGATCCCGCGGCGAAAAGCGCGGGGTGGACCTCTCGATGTGCGTGGCATATCGGGACTGCGCGGCGCTGCCTCGGCTCGCGTCGTTCTGTGAGGCGTGGCTGGGGTTGTGGGCTTGTTGTGTGTCACTGTTTGATGCCTGCTGCTGCTTCTCGTCTTGTTCTTCCCCCCCTGCTGCTGTCCTCTCCTCTCCTTAGCCACAGGGCGCCCACTTGAGCTGGTAAAAAAAAAATCACTGTTTGAGGGCAATGGGGCGCGCGGAAAGCAGATCCCGAAAGCATAATCTGGGTGGATTCGCTCGTGCAGAGATGAGTTTCACGTGGCTGCGGGCGCGCCCCCGATGCCTGTGGCCGATGTGCCCTGGGCCCTGGGGAAATGGCGGAAAAAATGAACGCAAGCGAACGCGACTGTTACGGTCTGGGGGATGTGGGCGTTTACTGCTTGTGGTGTCACCCTGGGTGTGGGACCGTGCCGCCTGGTGGAGCGTTCGTCATCTTTCTGTTTGCGGCTTCATGTCATGACCGCGAGGAAGTAGCAGCAGCGGCAGCGGCTGCAGCAATTGAGGTATCAGTAGCAGTGCCAGCCAGAGTTGTAGCAGTATCATGAGCACTAGCAGTAGGTAGCAGCAGCAGCATAAGTAGCAGTAGCAGTAGCAGTAGCAGTAGCAGCAGCAGCAGCAGCAGCAGCAGCAGCAGCAGCAGCAGCAGTAACAGTAGCAGTCGTTGTAACAGTCGCAGTATTACCAGTATACGTATTACTAGTACTTGTAGCATGTGTGGTATCCTTAGTCTTTGCAGTGCTATGTGTAATGCGGCTTTTCCGAGTAGAACTAGCAACAGTAGCAGTAGCGCAGCCCTAGCCGTATCAGTAGCATTCAGAAGGGGCAACAAGCACACAGACACAATTAATCGTCGATTCCAGAAAATATGGGAAAGTATGGGAAGTGGGGGGAAGACAGAAACCCAGAAAGTATGTGAAAATATGGGGAATCCGGGTATTTGTGTCTATCTATTTGTGTGTCCCAGGGCCCCTTTAAGCACCCTGAGCAGTTCGTCGAACAAGAGGAGGTTCCGCACCAGCAGCCAATGGGCGGCCATCGGGCGGGGAAGCCCCGCGGCGCGGGCGGAGACTCCGGCTGGGCCTGGCGGTTCGTGTTGGGTGGAGCGCTCCGTCTGCGGACAGGCGTGGGATCCCGCAGGGACTGGCGACTCTCGTGCTGCCTCCGGCAAGCCACCGAGGTTGAGATGGGGAGCGCAAGCCGATGCTGATGCTCGTCCTGGAGAGCCCTCGTCGCCACGGCGGTGTTCTCCTCGACATTCTGGTCACGCACCTCCGGAGGTGTCCAGGGAGTTGCGGGGTCAGTTCCTTGTTGTTCCCTCAGAGGCGGGGCATCTTGCTCCCATGCCCCAAGAGGGCCCTCGGAGACTCCGAGGGCAACCCGAGTGGCCGCGACGGCTCAGCGAGGCCCCTCAAGCCCTCGAATGTGTGCCCAGGCCGTCCGTCAGCAGCAGCTGCAGCAGCGGCAGCAGCGGCAGAGCCAGCAACCGGCTGGCAGCAGGCAGCGGACGGCAGGCAGCAGCGTGGTGTCGGGGATCACACATCGGCTCCCGGACCTCTCCAGGGGTGCGCCCCCGCCAGAGTTTCGAGCAGAATCCAGCCGTGGCCGCCGGGGCGCCCCAGGAGGCCCAACGACGTCCACAAGCGATTCGAGCTTCGATTCGGGGCTAGTTGTACTTCAGGAACAACCGAACTGGAGTTAGAACCTGGATAAACATCATAATCACCAAGATCATCGTAACTGCATCTTTCCAAGATACTAGAGTCTCAACATTGATCAGGACGTGGAAATTCACGGGCAGCAGAGATACTCCCAGTAAGATCAGAATCGAGCCTCGATTCCATCCTCTGCTCGATTCTCGAGTCGGTCCTCGCTCGGGGATCGAGGGTCGGCGGGCGGCGGCACCGGGAGCGCCCTCCGCGCGGCGCGCAGAGGCGGGGAGGGGGCGCTGGCCGCCCGGGGGCGGGGCCGCCAGGGGGCGGGGCGGGGGCGGCCGCGGAAACATGGCGTGGGCCGCGCCGGAGGCTGCACGTCTTCGGGGGGAGGGGGGGGGGGAGGGAGGCAGGGAAGGCGGGGGAGGGGGGGGGGAGAGGAGGGAGGCAGGGAAGGCGGGGGGGAGGGAGGCAGGGAAGGCGGGGGAGGGGGGGGGGGGAGGAGGGAGATTCGGTTTCTTTACGACAACCAGAACGGCAGTCTGCTAAGGGGAACGAGCAACGATATAGACAGAAGAACTCGGAGGTGCCCGCGGATTCCTCAGATCGGCGCTGGGGCCCCCTGGCGGCGCCTCTGGCGCCGCCCCCGGCGCGCTCCGCGCGCCAGGGAGGGGGGTCCAGTGCCGATCCGAGAAATCCGCGTGGACCTCAGAGTTTTTAGGTTTATGCCACTCTTTGTTCCGCTAGGGAGGCAGGAAAGGAGGGGCAGGGATGGGGAGGAGGGATATTCTTTCTCTTTACAGCCTAAACAACACTTCACAAGCGAGATAGGATGCGGTTTTACAGCCAACAGAATATCAGCTCATAGGATGAGAGCGACCACTGGACAACCAGACATGTCCTCTGTACAACCAGAACGACCACTCTACAACCCAGACGGTGCTCTTTACAATCAGACCGGCCATTTTACAACCAGCCCTCAGAAGCTTCTGAACGCTCTGCAGAGGCTTCTGAGGTGTCTGAGAGCCTGTGCGCTCTGCAGGCTTCTGAGGTTTCTGAGCGCTCTGCAGAGGCTTCTGAGCGCCTGAGCGCTCGGCTCGGATACCTAGGTCGGCCGACCTACGTGCCCGTGTTAGTCGCGTGTTAGACATACCCCGTGCTCACGTACAAAAACTTCGCTTATCGTACATCCGTTTTCATATTCTTCTCCTTCCCCTCCTCTTTCTTTTCCACCTCCACCGCCTCCTCCCACACCACTCTGCCTCAGAGCAACGAACCCGATTGTATTCTAATGGGTTTGCCTTATGCCAATGGGATTTCAGGCGGATGCGCATCAATAGGATTCCACTATGATTCCAATTTGATGTTTTAGGAGCCCGCTACTTTACAGATTCCTGCTTCAGGCGAGTCACTCTACAACTTTAGACAGCGGGGTGTTTCCCTTCTTTGGCCCAGCGAGACTTTGGAACTTTAGCGCGTTTGTCGCTCATGTGCGTTTATTTGCTGGGTTGTAAACTGGCTTTCCTGGTTGTAAAGTGCCCTTCTGGAAAAATCCATGCTGGTTGTAAAATGCCCCATCTCGGTTGTAAAGTGCCGTTCTGGTTGTCAAGTGACCCGCGCGCGGGGAGGAGGAGGAGGAGGAGGAGGAGGAGGAGGAGGAGGAGGAGCAGGAGGAGGAGGTGGAGGAGGAGGAGGAGGCGGAGGAGGTGGAAGTGGACGTTGCTGCACCGAATGAGGGTTTGTCTTTAAGACACAAAGCAACTGAGGCTCTTGCTGGAGACTTCTCCGCATGTGTTTACCCGAACGCTGCAACAGTCACACGTTTGCAGGGATTGCGCCCTTTCAGAACGGGATTTTCGGTCGGTGCCGTCTCATGGTCTACGATCAGGATGCTGGAAGAAATGTGCAGCAGCTGCACGGAGCTCGTGCGGTTCCTCTTTGACACTGGGCTCTTGCGTGGCACTCAAGTGCTTGACCATTCGGCTCCTACACCTTCCGGCATTTCTTACATTTTACAAGGGAAAGGCAGCTCGAGGAGCGGCCGCAGGGGTTTGGACGACTTTCCCAGGCCCCTGGTGGAGGGGGAGGAGGGGGAGGAGGAGGAGGAGGAGGAGGAGGAGGAGGAGGAGGAGGAGGAGGAGGAGGAGGAGGAGGATCAGGAGAAGGAGGCGGAGGCGTAAGAGGAGGAGGAGAAGGAGGAGGACCAGGAGGACGACGGCGATGAGGGGGAGGAGGCGGAAGAGGGCGGAAGAGGGGAGGATGGGGGGAAGGGAGGAGAAGGAGGGGACACACCTGGAAGGCTGCTGCTCTTTTTAGAGTCGTGGCTGGCGCCTGGATGGTATGCCAGAGGATCGCTTTCGTCCTTCAAACGGGGCCGCTCCTTGAAGTGAAGATCTCAATTGCTTGGGACGTGTGTGCGGAAGTGGCATGGGGCGGGAGGATATGTTGGAGCATCGTTGAGTTTTTTTTCGATCGTTCTGGTCCTTGTCCTCATCATCTCTCTTCCTTCTCTTCATCCCCCTTTCGTCGTTGTCCTCCCCCTCGAGTAGAAGGTCGCTGCTGCTTCTGATGATCACGATGCTGCTGCTGATGATGCTGGTGGTTGTGGTGATGATGATGTTGTTGATGGTGGTGGTGATGGTGATGGTGATGGTGATGGTGATGGTGATGATGGTGGTGGTGGGTGGTGATGGTGATGGTGATGGTGATTGTGGTGGATGATGATGGTGCGGCTGCTGCTGCTGATGATGACGGTGGTGGTGGTGGTGGCGGCGATGATGACGACGATGATGATGAAGCTGATGATGAGGAGGAGGAGGAGGATCATTTCGTGGAGGAGGAGGAGGAATGCTTGGCGGCTGCGAGGTTGAAGGATTATATGATGGCCTTCGGCCCATCCCGCCACCGCGCCCTGGTTGTAGGTCAGAGTTCTTATGGATGCTGCTCGGGGTCTCTTCGGAGCGCTCTCGGGGGCCTCTTAGGTGCATTTATGGGGCCTCTTGGGAGCCTCTCGGGGGGCCTGTTGGGGCTTCCTGTGGGCCTCTTGAGGGCCATATCGTGCGTGTGTGTGTGTGTGTGTGTGTGTGTGTGTGTGTGTGTGTGTGTATGCAACCAGTGGTACCTACCACGTGTCAGTCGAGTCACATCGTCCTGGGAGCATCTTGGGGGCCTCTTGAGTCATATCGCCGATGCCATATCGTGTGTATGCAACCTGTGGTACCAAATACATACCAGTGGAATCATGCCGTCTGTATGCTTCAAGAGGTACCACGCAAATGCCACTTGAGCCATGTCGTCTGTATCCCCCAGGTGGGACAAAGCTAGTACCACTTGAGGCATAGCGTCTGGGTGCCTCAGGTGCTATCAAACACGTGCCACTTGAGTCATACCGCCTACCTGCCTCAAGTAGCACCAAGCGTGTACCACTTGCGTCATATCATCTGCATGCCCCAGGCGCTACCACGAAAATGCCACTTCAGGCATATCGTCCGTACGCCTCAAGTGGTGCCAAGCAAGTGCCACTTGAGCTAGATCGTCTGGGTGCCTAAGATTGGTATCAATCACATACCACTTGAGTGATAAGCGGACGATCTGATTCAAGTGGTACTGAGGAAGTACTACTTGAATCGTATTCGAGCTCAAAGTGTAGTTTCGTATTCCCCTTCTCGGGCCCATCTTCGGGCATGATTGGGGCCTCCTGGATGTTCGTTGGGATCTCGTGGAAGGCCTCTCGGGGGCCTCTTGGAGGCAGTTTTGGTGCCTCTAGAGGGCTAGTTAGGGGCCTTTTGGGTCCTCCTTCGGGCCTTTTGGACACTTCTTGGGGCCTCTTGATGGCCTGGTGGGCTCTCTTGGGGCCTTTTGAGGGCCTCCCAGGGCCTCCTATGGGCCTCTTGCAGCGAAAAGCAAACATTATCGGTTCATGTTCTCCCTCTTGGGCCCCGCTCGCAGCCGTCTTGGGGCTCTCTTGGGCTGTCGTGGGCGCCTCTTGGGCCGTCTTGGGACCCTCTTGGGCCATCTTGGAGCTCTCTTGGCGGCCTCTTGGGCAGACTTGGGGCGATCTTGGGGGCTTCGTGGGACGTCTTGGAGCGTCGGAAGCTTGGAAAGGCGAGAATTCCAACAACATTCGAAATACTTTTGGGAATTCATTGATTTTGGCCTCGCGAGGCCCGCTTGGGAAGGCTCTCGGAGCTCTCGTGGAGCGTCTCGGAGGCTTCTTGGACCATCCTGGAGCGACCTTGATTGAGCGCCTTGGACCGATCGTGTAGCGATTCGGGGCGCCCTTGGACCGTCTGGGCGAGCTCTTGGGGGGTCTCTTGGTCCGTCTTGGGCCGCTCTTGGGCCGAACAGTCATGCGGCAGCACTCGGGGGAGCCCCGAGGGCACGCGGCCAGCCCCGGACGACTATTGGCAATTTCGGCCCGTTTCGGGCCCCTGATTGAGGATTGAGGCTCCAGGGGATCGAACAAGTGACCTGAGAGCACTCCAGCTCGTGCCTGGAGGGCACGGTGGCGGAGTATTGCCAAATAAGGCAAGAAAGGGGAGATGAGGAGGAAGATTGCAAGGAGGAGGGCGAGGAGGGTTTTGAGGATGAGAGGATGATGCTGCTGGTGGTGGTGATGCTGATGCTGATGCTGCTGCTGATGATGATGATGCTGATGATGATGATGATGATGATGATGACGCTGCTGATGATGATGATGATGTTGTGGTCGTTGTTGTTGATGATGACGATGACGATGATGATGATGACGATGATGATGATGATGATGATGATGATGCTGATGATGATGCTGATGATGATGATGATGATGATGATGATGATGATGATGATGCTGCTGCTGATGATGATGACGATGCTGCTGCTGACGATGATGATGATGATGATGATGACGATGATGATGATGATGATGATGATGATGATGATGAGATGATGATGATGATGATGATGATGATGATGATGATGATGATGATGAGGATGAGGAGGAGGAGGAGGAGGAGGGGAGGAGGAGGAGGAGGAGGAGGAGGGAGGAGGAGGAGGAGGAGGAGAAGGAGGAGGGGAGGAGGAGGACGACGAGGACTTTGAGGAGGAGGAGAAGGAGGAGGAGGAGGAGGAGGAGGACTTTGAGGAAGGAGGAGAGAGGAGGAGAAGGAGGAGGAGAGGGATGAGAGAAACGAATATCGAGACCTTGTGGGCTGAGCCCTTCGGAGCGGGCGCCTGCGTGCCTGGACCGCAGGCGGATGTGTACGTGGTGTGCCTGGTGAACCGCAGGGAGGGCGAGGATAAGCAGGCCTGCTCGCTGTCCTTGGGGGGGAAGGTGAGGAGGAGGAGGAGGAGGAGGAGGAGGAGGAGGAGGAGGAGGACGAGGAGGAGGAGGAGGAGGAGGAGGAGGAGGAGGAGGAGGAGGAGAGGTGAGGGGAGGGTGAGGAGGAGGAGGAGGAGGAGGAGGAGGGAGGAGGAGGAGGAGGAGGACGTGGAGAGGAGGAGGAGGAGGAGGAGGAGGAGGAGGAGGAGGAGGAGGAGGAGGAGGAGAGGAGAGGAGGAGAGGAGGAGAAGGAGGAGGAGGAGGAGGAGGATGGTGAGGGGAGGTGAGGAGGAGGAGGAGGAGGAGGAGGAGGAGGAGGAGGAGGAGGAGGAGGAGGAGGAGGAGGAGGAGGAGGAGGAGGAGGAGGAGGAGGAGGAGGAGGAGGAGGAGGAGGAGGAGGAGGAGGAGGAGGAGGTGAGGAGGAGGAGGAGGAGGAGGAGGAGGAGGAGGGGGAGGAGAGGTGAGGAGGAGGAGGACGAGGAGGAGGAGGAGGAGGAGGAGGAGGAGGAGGAGGAGGAGGAGGGAGGAGGAGGAGGAGAGGGAGGAGAAGGATAGGAGGAGGGGGTGAGGGGAGGGTGAGGAGGAGGAGGAGGAGGAGGAGGAGGAGGAGGAGGAGAGGAGGAGGAGGAGGAGGAGGAGGAGGAGTCAGAGTCAGGAGGAGGAGGAGGAGGAGGAGGGAGGAGGATGGAGGAGGAGGGAGGAGGAGGAGGAGGAGGAGGAGGAGGAGGAGGAGGAGGAGGAGGAGGAGGAGGAGGAGGAGGAGGAGGATGAGGAGGATGAGGAGCAGGAGGAGGAGGAGCAGGAGGAGGAGGGAGGAGGAGGGAGGGAGGGGGGAGGAGGAGGAGGAGGAGGAGGATGAGGAGGAGGAGGAGGAGGATGGAGCAGGAGGAGGACGCGAAGGATGCTGGGATGGTGCTACTTAGATCCAATGCCCGATGGAAGACTCAAACTGGGACGGCGCGCCTGCTGCAACCCTTCTTGCTGCACGGATGCAGGTGTGTGGAAGGAAGAAATCATGCGTGAGACAAGACATGCGGCACCTCCGCTGCAACAGCTGTGCGAGAACACGCGTGCACAGTGCGAGCTGTAACTCTCCGTCCCCATCCTCGATCTTCGTCGGCCCGGGCAGACACGAAGGACACATGCGGGGTGAGCGCAGCATGCTACGAAAACAAAGCCCACCCAAGTGAAAACAAAACACGTTTACAATGACAAGTCAACTCATGACCCACGTACTGCAGCATTGAGTTATAAAAAACAACTGGCGGCAGCGTGTAGTGATCGCACCCATCCCCACGTTGAGGAAACCAAGCAACCACGGAAATTTCGACTTTGACGATACTACAATGGAAGGTTTAGCAAAGTGTAGACATGTATACAACAATGCACATCCACCAACACTTCGAATTGAAACGTAGAGCGTGAAGGACAGCGGAATGTGCCTTACTTGCCCCGCGGGGCTTGGGCCAGGCTAGCCACTAGCTTCACCTCTTCACGTTCATGCTGCCGTCTACCCTGTAATCGAGCTCCGCGCCTGCACCGCCTTGGACCTCAAGGGTCCTCGCGTCCTTCCGCCGGTGGTGGCATCGGCAGTGGCCTCTCACCACTGTTGGCACCTGCAACCTCGTCGGCGTGATATCGCTGGCTGACACCTTCCGCGCATCAGCAATCAACAGCTGCGGGCCCTCTCTCACTGGGGCGCCTGCCTTCGCGCTCGGGACTGCACAGCCCACGCCCCTCGCGCATTCACGGTACTCGGGCCGAACGAAAGGGGGGGATAGGGACAGGGGGGGCTACGAAATCTGCTGCATGCAGCTGGTTTCGGCCCCGCCGCCGGGTCCATTCCTCGATACATGGCCACCTCCGGCGCCGGGAGCGCTGGGAAAATCAGCTGCCTGAGCTGATTCTCAAACCCCCCCCTTTGCTATGCCCCCCCCTGTCGCCCCGCCCGAGGTACGGGTCGCCCCCGGCTCCAGCTACCGCCCACGGGATGGTGTCAGCATGGCCTCGCTGCGGCTCGGGGCGTCAATGCCATCTCGAAGTCTGGCGGCCCAGCTTGGGGGGTCCGGCCGGACGGGGGACGGAGGCAGCGAGGGCGTGAGGGAGGCAGGGAGGCAGGGAGGCTGGGAGGGAGGGAGGGAGGGGAGGAGGGAGGAGCGGGGGAGCGGGGGAGGGAGGGAGGGAGGGAGGGAGGGAGGGAGGGAGGGAGGGGGAGGGAGGAGGAGGAGGAGGAGGAGGAGGAGGAGGAGGAGGAGGATGAAGAGGAGGAGGAGTTGTGGGAGGCTCTCGTGGGCGGAGCTCCTCAGCAGCTGTGCCGTGGACAGGGGGGGCGCTAGGCGCTCGGCCATGCGCGTCTCCCGCGACGGCCTACTCCTCCTCGATCCTCGATCCTCGATCTTCGATCCTCGATCCTCGATTCTCGATTCTCGATTCTCGATTCTCCTCCTCCTCCTCTTCAGTCTCCTCCTCCTCAGTCTCCTCCTCGATCCTTGACTCTCCTCCTCGATCCTCCTCCTCAGTCTCCTCCTCGATCCTCGACCCCCTCCTCGATCGTCCTCTTCGATCCTCCTCCTCCTCATCCTCCTCCTCCTCCGCGATCCTCCTCTTCGATCATTCTTCTGCTCAGTCTCCTTCTCGGTCCTCGATCCCCCACCGCGATCCTCGATCCTCGATCCTCATCTTCGATCCTCCTTCTCCTCCTCCTCCTCAGGCTCTTCCTCGATCCTCGATCCTCAATTCTCGATCCTCGATCCTCCTCGATCCTGAGTCCTCCTCCTCGACCCTCGATCCCCGACCCCCGATCCTCGATACCCGATGTACGATCCTGGCCCCCGCCGACGTCTGCCCACGTCGGGTGTGAGTGTGTGTGTGTGTGTGTGTGTGGTGGTGTGTGTGTGTGTGTGGTGACCACGCGGGACTCACTTCGACGTCGATTCCAGCCAGACCGATCCGATTCGACTCTAACATTCCGACGATCCGATGTGGCCCGATGCTTGCATGGCGCTGCTGTGCATCCTGACGCAGCCGATCCGATTCGACGTCGATTCCGTGCCGAAGCAGCGCGGTCCGATGCACATCTCGATCCGACGGTTGCTGGTTCGATGCCGACTGATCCTGCCACACCGCGTGGTGAGTCAGTGGGGATTCGGGGTCACCGCATGGTTGTGGGACTCGGGTCGTTCTCCGAGGACGTCTCGGGCGACCAGGGCCTCCGAGGTCCCAAGACCGTGCGGTGACGGACCGCGCGGTGAGGTTGTTGGGTATTCCGAGGTCACCACGCCGTCTGTCACCACACGGTTTTGGGGCCCCTCATGGTGGAGGCGGGAGGGCAGAACGGGTTGTCCGCGGGGGCCTTCTGAGAGGAGCGGGCGGGTGAGAAGGAGGAAGGCCAGTGTAAACCCAAGACTCGCCAACGATGTTGCAATACACCCTCCCTCCAAGTTCCCTCTTCACAGGTCCCTGCAATGATTCATTTTCGACGAGGGAGGCGCCCCGTTGGAAGACATTCGTGTGAACATCCAGAACCGTGCCCAAACAACATTCCTGGGACTGCAGCGCCGCGAATCAAGGCTACTGCTGCGTCCCGACGATCCCGAACCCCGCGCCAGAACGCGGTGCCTGGGACTTTCACGCCGCGAAGCAGCGTGACTGCTGCGCCCTGGCAGTCCGACACCGTGCCAACACGCCATGCCCGGGACGCCAGCCGCGCGAGTCTCTCCGGCCGTTGTGAACTCTCTCGGGCGAGCGTGCGCGCGGCGCTCGGGGCGAGGGCCACGCTCTGACGAGGAGCCGCCCTCCGTCCGCGGAGCTCCCGCGAACTCTTCGGGCGAACGTGCGCGGCGCTCAGTGCTTTCTCGGAGATTTTGATAGACCTCCTACCCTGACACTTCGATCAGTGAATGGGCCGTTTTCGGGTCGCGAGAGGGCGTCGCGGCCGTCATTCTTGCGGGTCCAGGCGCGTCGATTCTGGTCCCAGGCCGTTTTTCATCAAAGGGTGGTTTTTTAAAGGGAGGTTTGTCCACCGCCGATTTTCCTAGCGCGACAGTCAGCCAAGGAGCAGCTGCTGGCCTGGTGTGGTCCCAAGAACTCGCGGCGATACAGCGGCGATAAAGAGCCACACGCTGCAGCGCCAGGGTGTGCACGCCCCGGATTGCCTCTCGGAGGCGGCGCCCGTGTCCAGGCGCGAGGGTGCGCGGCGCTCAGGCGAGAGTCGCATGGTGAAAACCGACCGCCCTCCATCCGTGAAGCCCTAGGAAGCTTTTAAGGCGAATGTGCGCGGCGCTGAGGCGAGAGTCACATCGTGAAAACCTTCCACCCTCCATCCGTGAAGCTCTAGGAAGCTTCTAAGACGAATGTGCGCGGCGCCAGGATGTGAGGGTCACACTTTGAAAACGACCCGCCTTCCATCCGTGAAGCTCTTGCAAGCTTGTGAGACGAATGTGTGCGGCGCTAAGGCGCAACCCACACTTTGAAAACCACCCACTTTGCAAGTTCGAGGGCCATGCGTGGTGAGGAAGTCTTAGGCGCAACGCCCGGCCCGCCCTGCGGACACGTCTCGTGCGACAGGGAAGAGTTATTTAACAGGAAGGGGATGGGGGAGGAACAGGCACCGATGCCGCCATCCTTGCCTCGTTTGCGCCTTTTTGGGCCTCCTGGGAGGCCCTCGTCGCCACGGCTGGACTCGCTTCGAAATTCTGATCAGAAGGCACCTTTGGAGAGGCCCAGGCAGTAGCGGTATCGATATTTTTTCTTTCCCCGAACGAGTGAGGATGAGGAGTGCAGTGAAGACCCATGCCAAGAAACACGCTGCTTGCCTCCAGGGTGCCCTGGGTTTCTTGGGTTTCGATGGTTCTGCGATGGAAAGCGTGACGTTCCCACACCAGGAATCGATGGACGTCCTGGGCTCTTAGGGTTGGATCTCCTGTGGCAGGAGGAGGAGGAGGTTGAACAGGGGCACCTCTTCTCGCAATGACTGCGACCTCCACCCCCCCTCCAGCTACGTGACGCACAGTACAGTCACAGTCAACCCGCACAGTGAGGATGGGCAATTTTCCCAAGGGTGCCCTTGCATCCTTGCCCCTTCGGCCCACCCTTAGCGACATTCGCTGGTCGTCCTCGTTGGAAAAACGCGAACACGGCCCCCCAGGGCGCTATCATCCTTACCGCGCATCCTGACGATACGGGTCGACTGTAGCCCTCGTTCCTCCGCTTTTTGGTTAAGATGCGATTCGACGTGTACGGGCCCGACCGATTCGTACGGTAGTACGTCGTCTGTATGGTTCCTGGGGGGTGGGGCCGCTAGTCGCCCCCTCTGCGTGCGCGTGCTCCGCGCCCTTGTCCTATAGCTGCATCTGCCACGGCTGACGGGCATCGGGGCCCTCGGGGGAGGATCAAACACGCAAGCGCAGCGCAAAGGAACCTTCCTCGCCCCTCCCCAACTCAGAGCGCTCGGGGGGGGGGGGGCTGATGCTCACCGGATGGCTGATGCTCTCTTGCTGATGCTCTGGAGTGGGGGCTTATGTTCAGTGGAGGCTGCAGTGCCTCTCAACGAAGTGCTGTCAACCAAGCCTACAGGGTGGACCCTTGTCATTTGTTTGTGCACTTCAGCTTTGGCTTCGGCTGTAACCGTGGGTGCATTGGGAAGCGCCTTCGGGCCATCTCAACCGAGTCAGTTTTCCACTTTCATGGGTGCCCCTCTCTCGTATAATTCGCAACTCGGTGATGATGCTGATGATTTTGATGCTCATGATGCTGATGATGATGACGATGATAATGATGGTGATGGTGATGGTGCTTATGATGATGACGATGATGATTGTGATCATGATGCTGATGATGAGGATGATGATGGGGATGCCAATGATGATGATGAGGATGATGATGATGAGGATGGTGATGAGGATGATGCTGCTGCTGATGATGATGGTGATGATGATGAGTACGATGCTACTCATGATGATGCTGATGATGCTGACAATGATGATGATGCTGATGATGATGACGCTGATGATGATAATGATGACGCTGATGATGATGATGCTGATGATGGTGATGCTGATGATGATAATCCCGATGCCGATGACGATGATGATGCTGATGCTGATGCTGATGATGATGTTGATGATGATGACGATGCTGATGACGATGATGATGCTGTTGCTGATGCTGCTGATGATGCTGCTGATGATGCCGATGATGCCGGTGCTCCTGTTGCTGATGACGACGATGATGATGAGGATGCTGATGCTGATGATATTGATGTTGGTGATGATGATGATGCTCACGATGATGATGATGATGACGATGGTGATGATGATGCTGCTGAAGATGATGTTGATGCTGCTGATGATGCCGATGATGCCGATGATGCCGATGATGATGCTGATTATGATGCTGCTGATGCTGATGCTGATGATGATGCTGCTGCTGATGATGTTGATGATGGTGATGATGATGGTAATGCCGATGATGATGATGCTGCTGCTGATGATGATTATCATGATGATGATGACGATGATGATGTTGATGGTGATGATGATGATGCCGATGATGATGACGATGATGCTGCAGATGATGATGACGATGACGATAATGATGATGGTGATTGTGACGGTGATGATGATGATGATGATGATGATGATGATGATGATCATGATGATGATGATGACGATGATGATGATGATGACGATGGTGATGCTGATGATGATGGCGCTGATGATGACGATGATGACGAGGATGCTTCAACGGCTAGTGCTGCTTCTGATGAGTATGCCTTTGGTGGTGGTGATGATGATGATGCTGAGGATGATGATGATGATGACGACGATAGAGATGAGGATAAGGAAAAGGATGATGACGATGGTTACGAGGACGATGATAAGGACGATATTGTGGATGATGACGATGATGATGATGCAGATGGTGATTCTGGTGATGGTGATGGTGATTATGATGGTGATGGTGATGATGATGGTGTTGGTGGTGGTGATGATGCTGCTGCTGATGATGATGATGCTTCTGATGATGATTCTGATGATGCTGATGCTGATGCTGATGCTGCTGCTGATGATGATGCTGATGATGATGATGATGCTGTTGATGATGATGATGATGATGATGATGATGATGATGATGATGATGATGATGATGATGATGATGATGATGATGATGATGATGATGATGAGGGCGAGGAGGGTGAGGACGTGGAGGAGCAGGAGGAGGAGGAGGAGGAGGAGGAGGAGGACCAGAGCGAGGGGGAGGGGTGTGGGCGCGGTCCTCCATGAGGCAGTTTCAGGCGTCGAGGCCTCGCGCCCGTGAAAGCCCTCCGCGCGAGTTCTCTGCCCGAAGGCGGGCATCAGCTGGATCGGGGATTTCGTGGAGATCATCCGGGCCAACAGCGGGAAGATCCAGCTGCTGTCGCACCCCTCCACGGGCGCCGCCAGTGCGGAGAGTTCCCTGTCGCATTATACATCTACCCGGGTGCCAGGACCTTCTTGGCCGATCTGATCCCACGGGATTTCTGGCCTTCGTTGCACTGTGTTTTGGCCCCAGATGTGGCATCTGGGGCTTTCACTGCATCGTGGTCCAGCTCTGGATCTCGGACCACGTCGGACCCGCACGGAAGGGCGGCCTGCGCTGCACGGTAATTTGGCCCTAATGCCTTCTTCGTAGCCTGCGCTGTCCACATGGATGTTGCTTCGTGGATGGCCGTTTTGACCCGCACGGGGGGCAGCGCTGGTTGCACTGTGGTGCGAAGGAGGGGGAAGAGGAGGGGGAGGAGGGGAAGGAGGGGGAGGAGGGGGAGGACGGGGAAGGAGGGGAAGAGGAGGGGGAGGAGGAGTAGGAGGAGGGGGAGGGGGAGGAGGGGGTGGAGGAGGAGGAGGAGGAGGAGGAGAATGATAAGGTCACGGGGCCTCAACACGGGGACCTCAACACGGGGGCCTCAACACGGTTCGAGGACGCCTTCAGACAGCCTCAGAATGGCTTCCGATGTTCTGAAAATGTCTTCGAAAGCATCCAGGGATCAGCTCCGCTGAGCCAATTAACACCGAAGAGTTCAACGTTTCGGACGATGCTTTTGTGCTTCCGTGCTTCCCCATGTGCTTCCCCACATGAGCAATTCCGCAGAGCTGGCAGTCAGACGGTCCCAGCTTCCTCCCAGGGCTCTTCCGGACGCCGCGAAAGCGGCCTCGAGATGGCCCCAAGAGTGCCGACGACAGCCCTGATATGTCCCAGGCCAGGCCCCAAGCGGTGCAGTTCTTGCGCCGCAAGGACGGCCAAATAAACTGTTCTGACGGTCTCGGGATGCTCGATGTGCTCCCACAGCCCCCCAGGGGTCCCCACTAGGTGCTCAAGATGCACCCGATTGGCTTCTGTGGTTTCAACGCTTGCACCATCCAGTGCCCAAGAGGTCCGAGTATCTGAGACGAAACCTGTGCAAGCAGCCTCCCGAAGGGATCCAGTGGAGCCCAAGAGGTTCCCAAGAAGCCCCCTGTGGACGTCGAATCGGGCACATCCAAGCTTCGGATCTCACAGCAACCTTTCACACACACAAAAGACACAGCTCCATCATGAAAGCAGCAAGCTGTGCGTGTCAGGTGTGGTCGCATGCACGTGTCCTCGTGGAGTCATGCTGGACGTTGCGTCGAAGTAGGCCGTGGGGCCCCTGGCCCGTCCCTCCTCTCCGTCCTGTTCCGCTCCCCCCCCCCTCTCGCCGTCCCCGTGTCTGGCCCTTCCCCCCCCGCCTCTCTCCCCCCGTCCTCCTCCTTCCTCACCGGACTGACGCAGCCAGCTTGTGTAAGACGCAGCCTTTGAACCCTGGGCCCCCTCCCCCTCCCCGCCATCCACTCCTCGCCTCATCTACTTCTCACCGTCCCCTCCCCTTCTCTTCTCTTCTCGCTCACCTCCCTTCCTGCCCTCCTTCCCTTACACCCCCCCAGTCTCTCAACAGCGAGGAGGTGGAAGTGAGATGGGGGGGAGTATTAGATCGGTGGGCGTGGGAAGATTCCTCAGTTGTGGTCGTGGTCGTGGTGTCGTCGTGGTGTCGTCGTGGTGTCGTCGTGGTGTCGTCGTGGTGTCGTCGTGGTGTCGTCGTGGTGTCGTCGTGGTGTCGTCGTGGTGTCGTCGTGGTGTCGTCGTGGTGTCGTCGTGGTGGTCTTCGTGGTGGTCGTCGTCGTCGTCGTCGTCGTCGTCGTCGTCGTCGTCGTCGTCGTCGTCGTCGTCGTCGTGGTCAGGTTCACTGGTATGCAGCAGGCGAGAAAGGGAGCATCTACATCGTCTTTTCTTGTCCCTCCTGGGTCTTGTAAGTTCGGTAGCCGATACACATTGTGCGGTGATGGCTTATTTGCTTGATTGATTGGCCGATTGGTGGGTTGATCGCTTGATTGATACGACCGGTTGTTTTCAGGGGGCCGAGGGACGAGACCCTTGCGGAACTGTCCAACAAGTCTGCATTTTGGCTTGGGGGCATGGGGGGTCGAGAGCGAGGCTTGGCGGGGCCTGGGCGACACAGCCAACTAATCCCTCCGAGGGGGGCTCGCAACCTTGCCTTTTCCCGGGCGGGACCAACGAACCCGTTCCCCCCCCCATCCCCTTCTCTCGGGGGCGGCAAAGAGGGGGGTGATGACTAGGGGGGAGGGGATATCATGGTGTGGGCCATGACATTTCCGCAGATTTCATGGCGCCTCTTCTTATTTCGTTGCGTCCCTGGCCCCCCCTTGGGCCGCGCACGTGCCGCCAGCCATGATTCGCACCCCCCCTCTTGGACGCCCCCCTCTTGGCCGCCCCCGATTATCTCTCCCCCCCGTCTTTTGTCCCCCTTCTCCTCTCCCGTCCTGCCCTCCTTCCCCTGTGCCCCTCGCCCCCTCTGGGGGGGAGGGGGAGGGGGAGGGGGATAGTGGGAACACCAGATCGGTGGGCGCAGCCAGGAGCCCCAGCCACCTCGTCCTTGTCCTCCTCCTCCTCCTCCTCCTCCTCCTCCTCCTCCTCTCCTCCTCCTCCTCCTCCTCCTCCTCCCCCTCCTCCCCCTCCTCCTCCTCTTCGTCGTCCTCCTCATCCTCCTCTTCTTCTTCCTCCTCCTCCTCCTCCTCTCCCTCCTTCCCCTCCTCCTCCTCCTCCTCCTCCTCCTCCTCCTCATTTCAGCCAAGTTTGCATCAGTATCCTGGTGGGGTGAGGAATCCATCTGGGGCTCGGTCGTCTTTGTTCGTCAACCTCAGGCTCTTTCTGCTCCCAGTCCTACTACTTCGGGCCTCCCTGGTTAAGTTCGCCATGATGCACTTCCTTGTTGTCGTGCCGCTCGGGATGCTCAGGGGAGGACCGTTCTTCGTCGCCTTCCAGTTCGTCGGGTATTTCGACAAGTTCAGGGGGTGGCATCTAGTGAATATCGCACCGCGATAGAGCCCATTCCATTCCATTCCATTCCATTCCTCCTCCTCCTCCTCCTCCTCCCTTTCCCCCTCCTCCTCCTCGCTGGCCCCTTGGCTCGCAGAGTGCTGCTTCGAGGCGGCCCTGGCAGCAAGTTTCTGGGTGCAGGCCTCGGCCGCCGCACTTCCAGCCAGCTCCAGGACTCCACGAGGCAGCAGCCTCGCACGAGGGCCGCGGCAACTGCCTTCCTTTTTCTGTTGGGCGCGTCCCTCTGCAGGAGGAATCTTCCAGCATAGTCAAGAAATAGTCAGGGGACGATTTTTCGACCAGTTCCGATTCTTTTCTCGTTGAGAAAGACAGCCCGTTTTTCCCCATTTTTCTTTCAAAATTCGCCTGTAGGAGGACATGCCCGACCTAAGCCTTCCCTCGCCTCGAGCTTCCGGACGGACCGTTGCGACGATTCTCGGCGGCAGCGACTGCAGATGGCCAACTCACACCCACGTATGGTAGGTTCGCGTCGTGTCGACCGGCGGCGACCCCGCCGCCGGCGTTCAATTTTGAGCGCCGCCGGCGACCGAGAATCGGTCGATGTTGACCGAGCTGACGTTTCGGAAACGCCCGATCGTTCAAGGTTGAAAGATCCCCGCGGTGTCAGAAACCAAAGCCGGGGTCGACATGACACGAACCTGCCGTACCTCGCGCTGGGCCGCAGCCCGCGCCAAGCCCTCAAGGAGCCCCTCACGAAGAACATGCTCGACCAGTTCCAGACTGCCTTCCCCAACGAGAACTGGAGGTTGGACCACTATCAAGGGCAGATTTCGCGGCGCAGCCTCCCTCTGGCACGCGCGGAGGTTGGTCGACAGCTCGACGCGACCAGCTGGGGCTAGACTCGCCCATCGGCCCCCTCCGGGCGGCAGCTGCCCACAAGATTCTCCACGCCGTGGGGGATCACGTTCTGAGGGGCGGGCGCCCGCCAGCCGTGCTGCATGCTGCCATCTGTGCCGCGCGCCGCGCGCGCCTCGAGCAGCGATCCGGACGGATCCCTCCTGGGGATTCGTGATCTACCGAAGCTTCGTGGCCGTGGCGGAGCTCACCGACAACACCTCCGTTCGCCTGGACAAGCCCAGTATCGGAACGTACGCCGACACGCTGGTCAAGCCCACGGGCACGGACGTGGAGAGGCTTATTCATCACGGCTTTCGTGCCATGATTCTTCTTTCACTTACCCGAGATTCGGGAAACATATGAAGCGTCAGCCGCGGTGGCGCTGGAGTTCTGCAAACCTGTGCGCCCTTGGTTTAGTGGAATTGCCGCGCCGTCCTCCACAATATGGATAAGCACGATGTGAACAAGGGACTACTTCGCGAAGGCACTGCGACAGCCCACCCTGTGGACCTTCGAAGAAGTAGGCGGGTCAGGACAAGCGTTGCGACATGCTCCTCGCCGCGCGCGCCTCTCCGACTTCTACGACACCTGTTTGCCCAATTCCTTCACGTGCTGCTGGCAGAGTGGCCGTCCTGGTCCCAATGTACTAGGGCAAGCGTGTCAAGCTTCCGCGGGCGGAGATCGTGCCTGGTCGCTCCCCAATTTACGAATGCCTCAGCGCCGTGCGGGCATTGGCTTCGAAAGATCTGGCTTGAGTGTTTGCCGCCAGCGCACCTCCGACCCTTCCGCCGTGGTGCTCGGCTGCTGCGAGGGCCGCCAGCAAGCCGACCACGCAAGGGGCCCGCTGCCAGCTCTCGCCTGAGAGAAACGCGGCCTGGGTGCTTGGCGACGTCAACTGCTCGGACCGTCCCGCAGTCGATCGTCACGCGCCTACGGTGGGCCATGGCGTCTCGTTCTCTGGCGCCTGCACCTACGCCCGCGCTGACTATGCTGCGCTGCGCTCGGCCACCATGCTGGGCAGCGTCGTGGAGGTGCGCGGCGACCCACCGACGCACTGATTGGTATCGTGTCCTGCTGGTCCGAGTGCCTCCCGCCTGGATCGCTTGTCCGCCTCCGCGCCGATGTGGTTGGCGCAGCAGTGGCACTGGAGCGCCAGCGCGCTGGCCGACGCTGGAGTGCTCTTCGACGTGGGCATCTCACGCCGCGCCCCTGTCTGTTTCGGAGTGGCAGTCAAGCTCTTCAGACCGATCGGCTAGCAG